AAGACGTTTTGAAAAGGTCTCCTTGAAGAAGACATTCGATCTTGTTGCCCTGTAGAAGGACGTTCTTTTGAACACAAAATTGACTTTCCTTTGACTCTAGAGAGCAGCAATCATAGATACCAAGATCTCAAAAAGATAGCTCATCTTAAGAGCAGACAAGTGAACGCATAAAAGTGCCTTGTAAAAATGCAGAATAAAGCACATTATTTCGTGAAGCTCTCAACATTCCCAACATATCGCCATGACCCCTCTTGGTTCACACCCTTGGCCTTTAGGTCTGTATTAAGCCTGTAAGGCAGTTTCATTGCTGCTGCAAAGAAGTGCTCCCAGAAGAACCAGGGCAACAGCAGCATTGATACCTTGAATAGCTAGGTTTTATTCTGTCGTGACCCTTGTGTGCACTTATTGGCTTGCATGTGAATGGGATGCATGTATGGGGAGAGTTTGAGAAGGAACAGCACAACTTAATTAAAGCCTTGAGATCATGACAATGGTTCAGAGGGTAAAGAAGTTCACATGTTCAGAGGTTTTGGAGGAGAGTTCAATTCTGAGATGGATTTCTCTTTCATCCCTTTTTTGTTCATGGACAACCCATGAATTTATGGGTATCTAGGGTCTTTATTTGTTAAGCTAGAGGGTACCACTTTCTTTCTTCATTGTTCACATGTATTCAAGCTATATTCTTTTCACATCACTCTAAATGACTTTGTCTGGGGGTTTTCTTCGCTCAGCTAAACCTATGGCATCAGTTGGGAACTGTGTTTAAAATTATGCCAAGAATCTCAACAACACAAATAACTTTATTTTCCATCTCTCTGTGAATAAGAAACTGTTGGATCTGTTTCACAGTGTTGTGTGTTTAATAGTGAACATAAACACAAACAAAGCTTAAACTACTGATTAAAAGGTATTATCTCATAACAATTGTTGTAAGCAATTATAAACCTCCCAGTTTTATAAATGTCATGCTGGGAAATGTCAGGAAAGCTGTAAAAGACGAAATTTTGTTTTGTATACAGTCTGTGTATACAAAATGACAATAAAAGTTGTCTAAGTCATGATGTAAGCAAGCACGTGGCCAGATGACTGCTAGTCTAGAAAGGGGGTGTTCTTTAAAAGTCATTCTAGGACACAAGGAGACAATGACGACCTTTCACTCCAAGAATAAAAAAAAAGGTCTGGTTTACTTTTATCCAAGATGGAATGTCTGGCACCAGAAGTTCTGTTTGTCTTCATGTACAAATAAGATTGGCAGAACACAAGAAGGGGGCTGCTGTGATGCAGAAACTTTGCATCTAAAAACTGTTGAATAAGAATCTTATTAATTCACATATAATTACAGCCTTTTTTGTTTTTTTTATGGTTGCGTTTTTGGAAATTTTTGCATGTAATACTGTAGCCTTCATGGGTGAATTAACTCCATTTTCCCTTGTCCCTGTGTTTTCCAGATGTTGTCATTTGGTTATTCAGTCATTTCTCATTAGTTCAATTATCTTGCTGCTGCACAGTTGTATCAGAATTAGCAATTACAATCACCTGTTTCTTTTCCTTGTAATTACTTCTCTTTGACTATCTGCCTTTACCTCTATCACAATATACGGCATCTGTAGTTTTCAAAAGTATATAAATAGTTTAGAAGTGTTAATGGAAGTTTTAATGGATCCCAACTATGAACAAACATTAAACATACACATACTCATCCTGAACTTATTCAGACCTGATATTTGGGTGCAGAAATCTCAGCAGAGATACCCACAATTCCTTCTCCCATGGAGTTCCAGAATCAGCCAAGAGATATGGACTTATTCTGAATGTGAAAATGGTAAGGACACTCAAACCAAAGTGGAAGTATGTCAGAGGATGCCATGATAAGTCCAATCCGAATAGTGCTGGCAGTGAAGGAGACAGGAGGAAAAAGATAGATGGAGGTTTCCATCCATAGTTCATTTATCACAGGGATATCCTGAAGTTCCAATCGGCTGCATATGAAATATATGAATGCCCAAAATAATGTAAATGACAAGAAGTACAGTATAAGAACAACTCACCTTATAGAATTTAAATGTACAGTGTGTAATAATTACAGGCACTTTCTTACATAAATGTAATATATTATCTATATGTATTTTATTTATTATCTCCTATGAACTGAATGTCTCGATCTTTATATTTGCCTTGCCTTAGAAATTGCCATTTAGTGTATAATTACATAGGAGTGGGATTGCATTTGTGGAGGCAGATGTCTTTTGAGTCGTGCAAAGCTGATAAACTAGTAACTACAGAGATCACCACCACGCTTGAATGGGACTTCAACAGTTGAGCCTATATACAATTCTACACAGAGTAATAAAATACGATTTATTAAATTATCTATGTAATACTAGACTTCTTGCCCTTGGTGCATGTTTGCTTTGGTCAGAGTGCCCAAAACAGGGGGATGAATCACTTGGACAACAGAGGTAAGAGGAGACAGCATTCCTGAGCTCAGGTAGAGGCAGCGGGGAATCAGTTTGAGAACACCGGGGAGAGAGAGATCCATAAGTGGGATGAGAAATGCTGCCCTCTGGAGCTGAAGAACCACAGCAGTAGATGTGACAGACTGCCGCTGCTAGCTCAGGAAGAGAGCACAGTGGCGGCTCACAGGCCTGCCGGAAAAAAAACGCTGATGGCCCTTTAGAGGCCGCAGCTGAGCCGGGCTAGCTGGAGGCTAACCATGGAGGATTGAAGCAGAACAGTTGAAGATCGGATTAGTCCGCCAGGCGGTGAGAGGTCGGAGGGCAGGGGAGAATGGCTGCGGCTAACCATGAGGAGGACGGCATGACATCAGACAAGCCCGCCAGGGAGACAGCGCAGAGAAGAGGCCATGGCAGGCCAAGGCTACTGTAGGCTCTATGTGCTGGAGATGGACGAAAGACCATTGAGCATCAGAGGAGTGTGTGGCTGGAGTGAGCAGCTGAGTCGGACCATCTAGGGCTAAATTAAAATGCCTTTTATAAAAGTCACTCACAAACAATGTCCTAACCACTAGGCCACACTCCACCTAAATTTATGGAATTGATGCTGCGATCTAATGTGACCAAACCTTGTCATCACTGAAGATAGGTTAAGTGGAAGTTGTGGAAGCCATTTTTTACCATGAAGGCCTCCGTGTTGCTGGAGACTAGAGGCAGTGTGGGGGGAGAGTTCATGTTGCTGAAGTCTGCAGTCTGAGCATTAGATGTTGCTGACATTAAATTACGCATTGTAGATTTAATATCAAAACATAATTTCTTCATGTGTACTTTATGTGATGTATGCAAATTTATATAACTTCATATTGTTGGAGTGTTATAATAGAGACCTTCAGCAGTTTGCTACATTTCTGTAACTTTTGTTATTTGTAGTAATTATCTGGAAGGTTGGTTGTAGTCCCATTTTCACACATTATCAATGTGTGTTTTCATTACATAACGACATCTGTAAAGCTGTCTAGATTGAGCACAGCACACTGGAGTTATTTTCCTACCCACAATAGTGTAATAGCTAAATAATAAACAGACTATATATATATTAAACATCTAGAAGGGAGAAAAACAAGGGTAGAGAAAAATTGAAGTATAAGGGATCAGTAACAAGGTAATGGGAGAACATTTTACAGTAGTGATACTCAATGGCGTAACGACCCAACAATAGGCTCGTACGCTACATTATCTGTTCCCCATATGAAGTACAACACCCCCATCCTCTACCTGCCACCTTGTACGTAACAGTTATGGTTTTA